TTTTTTTGATGTGAATGGCATTGTCCACAAAGAGTTCATTCCGCCAGGACAAACACTGAACCAACATTTTTACCTGGATGTGTTACGAAGATTACAAGAGAGTGTGCGACGAAAACGGTCCGAAATGTGGAGAAATTGGAACTGGTTGCTTCACCACAACAGTGCTCCAGCCCACACAGCTTTGACGGTCCAACAGTTTTTGACAAGCAACAACATGGTGATTGTGCCTCATCCACCTTACTCACCCGACCTGGCTCCGTCGGACTTTTTTTTGTTTCCACGGATGAAGAGAAGTCTGAAAGGAAAGTGATTCCGTGATGTGGATGAAGTAAAAGAAAAGACGCTAAAGGCTTTGAACAGTATCCAGCCTCAAGAATTCCAGCACTGTTTTGAGCAGTGGCAAAAGCGTTGGGACAAGTGCATTAATGCACATGGACAGTACTTTGAAGGGGACTAATATACAGTTCAATAAAAATGCAAAAATAAAAAATAACAAAAATAAATTCCAGTTATTTTTGGGTCCCCCCTCGTACGTGACATTCGGCCGTTAAAGGTTAAACAATTATGCAATTACAAGGGCTGCTTTGGAAGTAACCTCCGGTGAGCTCTTAACAAAATAAGCAATGAAAAAATTATTGTATACAAAAAATACATATATACTTAAGCTACTTCTAAATGTAGTCAATGCTGGAATTGAGGCACTTGTCATATCGGGGACCAGGTTTTTGTATGCCTGTGTTAAATAAGTCTGCTGCTTGTGAGCTCAGCCGCATTTTGACACCTTCCATCAACTTCTGATTACTGTTGAAGCGCTGTGATCACAACCAGTTCTTCAGGTAGTTAAACAGGTGGTAGTCACTCAGAACGAGATCGGGACTGTAAAGAGGGTGGTCAAACAACTCCCAGTTGAAATGCTCCAGCTGTGCTGTAGTGTCAGCAGGCATGCATTGTCATGGAGGAGCACTAAACCGGATGCCAACCATTCCAGCTTGTTTAGTGTTTCACAGTACACTTGTAATTGTTGTCCTCTGTTGCCTGAATTCCACAATCAGCCCTCCTTTCCTGTCCCAGAAAACAGGATTCTGGCAGGCAGACAGTGTTCGTTTAAACCTTTTGGGCTTGTGTGGTAAATATGTGTGCATCTGCTGTTTTGACTGCTCCTTGGTTTTGACATCAATGAATGAAACCCTGGTTTTATCACCTGTTTCATAAGATATGATTGAGAAATTCATAACCATCTTTACTTTAATAAAGTTTAAGCTGAAGCCATTCTTTGCATTTTGTATGCACTCTTGAGCATTTTTAGAATCCATCTTGCATAAAACTTCTGATCGCCTTTTCTAACTGTGATAATCTTGTACAGAAACATGCATGAAATTTGTGGAAATTCACATGAAAGATCTGAAATTGTGAAGTGTCATCTTTCACAGATTTTTTTGGTCAGCAGTTCAAACAAAATCGTCATCACTCACTACAGATGGCCGATCTTTTCACTCTTCATTATGAACATTTGTTTGCCCATCTTTGAACATTCTACACCACTGTCTTACGGTTCCTTCACTAATTTTATTTTGGCCATAAGCCGAGCTTAATTCATAATGGATTTCCACAGCACTCATATTTTTAGTATGAAGAAAATTCATAGCGCAAATTTTGCAGCTGGCGGGACTAAAATCGCAGGACACATCGTAACTCACTCTTTAGAGACAAGAACGAACCCTAGGTGACCAATTATGGTTATTCATGTGATGCTACTTCGCATGCGCAAGCTCTCCCCCACAATTACATTATTTTCTTAAAATAAACAAAGGTTACTTACAAATAGCCCTCATATTAGTATGCCTTTGAAAACTTTTTCTGTGAAATTTCAGTGTCTTAAATTTATTCAAATTATTTCAAAGAAATTATTAATTACCAAGTTGATTAAAGTTTGCTCTTGAATTGTAGCTACTGATGTTACATAGGTTCATAATTGGCCCTCTTCAGACTCAGACAAGCAATGTTGCTTGCATCACTAGGCTTATTTTTGAAATTAGGTTTCATGTTATTCATTGGCAATGTAAACTTTCACAGATTTATATAGGTTTCAGAGTTGTTAGCAACACCACTGCAAATTTGTTCAGAGTATATAATGTTGTTGCAATATGTTACAAGTGCTTGATACTTCATCTTCAACTGTAATATTTGTATCAAGTGTAGACCCTTCTAAATGTTTATGTTTCATTTCTTCAGTATGCTTTCTTGGTACAACAGACTTGTCATACCAATTTAGCTAGCCTGAATTAAATTCCATTTCAGAATTAGTTAAATCAGTCTCGAACATTTTGAGCTTCAAGTTTTCCATTTATACAGTGTTAGAATACTTCAAAGAATTTATTGTTTGCCTAAAGTCTGAAAAAGTTGGCAAAAATTTTGTTTTAATGTGGTAATGGCATCTTGGAAAAGATGGAGTTTGATGTTCTTATAGTGGTGAACGCTGTGATTGCTCCTTTCTTGTATATGACACCCACGCAGTGTAGTAAATTGTTTCTGATATTTTGGAGGTACATTCTGCTCACATCCTGAAAATGGAGGCAGTGTGTTCCTCTGAAATGTCAGTAATGATTTACCGAACTATATCGCATCACATTCAGAATATGAATTCTTCATACTGAGAAAGCTTTAAACTCTTCCATCTCACAGTCCTCGAGAATTGAAAGGTTATTCAGATGCACATTCGGTGTAGAGAATATTCTGGCATACAGCGGTTCAAATCACGTTGATATACTTTGAAATTCTTTTCAAGAGCTGATGCTGAAAGACCCCAGAATGTCTGGATTCTCTTTAGATCGGGTTTGTTTTTAAAATTGCAACAAGATAATCAGCAAAGTGTGAATAACACATCGCAAGAGTACAAGAATATACAAGAGAATGAAGAAGGATGACATTGAACCAGCTGTGATTATACATTTATATGTAGAAATGGGGGTTGCTTTTTTGGAAGAAAGAGAATCATGTCAACAGTTAAAAGGGTAGACTTTAGTAGGATCCTAGTACTGTGTTTACTTGTATAATTTACACATCTGCATAAGTAATGCAGCCCTACTTGTAGATAAATGTTGGAAGAAAATTAAATTCCATGTTTTTGCCCATGATAAAATTCTGACACATATTTCTTGTGAAAAAATGTGAGTACAGCTATATTCATTATATCGAACTGTAATCATGTTTTCTGTGAAAATTATTTGTTGATCAAAATTCAGTCAAGTGACAGCTATGTTAATCAATATTAATCAACAAATTGTGCAGTGGAGTCCATAGGCACATATAGCATGTACCTGTACCATGCTCACAGTGCATTCAGCTGTAATTGCATTTTCTAAAAACTTATGCAATGATTGAAATTTTTTCAAGGGACATTATTCATCATGGTGTTCAAGGAATCACATGGAGTCCATAGGTGATAATATCCCTACCATGCTGCCACATCACATTTTCAGTGAAATTTCTGTGTCAGGGGTCACTTGTGTCTCAGTATTCTTCAGAGGTCACATGGTGGCATGCTTAGGTGCCAATATCCATATGTTGTTGTCCATCTCATTCAACTGTAATCACATATCTGTGGTTATATCCCAGTATTTCAGGGATAGTCAGGTTTGCTGAGTGGTGTGAGAGTTCGAGGTGCGGCAGAATTAAATTAACAGCTGACAGCAGAATGATTGCATAGAACAGTATTTTATTATGACAATAATGGGCACTAGATGAAATATCCTGGCACTCTTAAGTATTTTCCCTAAGGAAGGAACTCCTCACTTGCACTGGGGTTCTGTCATACTCATATGTGGTGGGGGGGACCACACAGTAATTTGTTTATTCTACACACTGGCTGACTAGATGGTGCAAGCTGGTCCACAGCTTTGAAAGTATGTATTTAAAATGCCTACCTTAACTACGGAATACTCGTGACCATAATACACATGACCATCACAATTAACAACGGTGAACCCCTTATATGCAACACCGTGACAGTTATACATCAGTCAAAAACATATACAAAGTTCTTGTTCTTGTCTTGATTCTTTAAACGTTTCAAAATTCTCATTATGCTCTCATTTCATATTGAGAAAGTCATTCTCATATGCCTACTTTCCACTTATTTTCCCTGTTATGTGAAATTTTTTCTTCAACTGTGCCATCATTTCACCTGCACTGCCATTGCCACTGGGACATTTTTCTTTTCCTGGCTTCTTTGATTTTACTGAACTTGTATTTGAATATTTCACTTGTTACACTTTTATACTGTCAATGTGCAACTTTTAATGGCCCCAGAGTTTTATTGAATGAAAGAGCAGTGGGGCAGTTTTGAAACTGTCAAGTGTTTCTTTTCATTTGTGATATTCTGTACTTGAAGAAACAATCACTTCATTTCCTAAACGCCAGTTATATTTACCGTAGTTTCCTTACATTTATTACAGATTCTTTGTCTTTTCTGAACTCTTTTAAGAACCATTTTTATATGTGGTTCATCACAGGTGTCTGGTTTTATTTCCTTTTGAACTTCCATTTTGACTGACATTCAAGGGATTATAACACAGCTTTTGGCAGTTTTATTTCTAAAATGGGATTGATGACATGAAGAGCCCCAGTCTTCTCATACTAGGTGGGAAATTCGTAGCACATTTCTTGCCCTGGGAGTTTGTTTTTTCTTTATAGTTTTAAGTTGATATGAATTACAAATATTTGTCTGCCTCTTCCCAAACACAAGGCTTTAGCCCCTGTCTCTAGAAGAGCATGCAAGCTGGGTTTTTGCACACTGCATTCCACAACCCCATCTCAGTACTGATAAATCTTTCATTGGAATTGAAGGTCGTTTGGTACTTAGTATCTGTTCAACAGAGGCAACAGAAGGGGCATCAAATTTTGGATGATTCACGATTTGATCATCCGTTATTATTTCAGGGTTACTGTTATCAAGGTACAAAATCTGAACAAGGCAAAACAGGAAAAGAAATGTGGCCTGTGTTACTATCACTTACTGAACACAGGCAATAATTTAGTGAAATGTTAGTTGAGCACAGTCGTTGAATAAAGTATGTTCCTATTAGTATATTTTCATGGTATTTGAGTTTGATGCTACTTTGAACATCAACTTTAGTTCTATAATCCGTAGAACTGAAGTGTTTTGTACAAAAACATACCTCTTATATATAAATGTATAAGCTATACTGTAAATTTGTACAAAAATTGCATTAATAGGTCCTATAAATGACTGGATTTGCATCATATTTGTATTGAAAGATTCACAATAGTTTTCATATTAAATGCCATATAAAACAATTTTCACTTTCATTCAGTGCTGCATGAAGCTTTGCCTTCACATCCCTTACATATTGATTCTATATCTTATAATTTCACAGATTTTTCAAGAGGCTCGGCGTAATTTGCCATCCATAATATACGTTCCTGCAATTGCTCAATGGTGGAATTTGGTTCCAGAGACCCTTCATGCAGTATTTTTGTCACACATCTGCAAGCTGGATCCAAGTGCTCCAATTTTACTTATTGCTACAGCCGACATTCCATATAATAATTTGCCTCAGGAGGTAAGTTGGAATATATTATGTCTTTCACATTTTCATAATTTTTATCCTGCTCTGCTTGTTTATGTAAAATGTTTTATTGTGTATATACATACTTTGTCTGTGTTCCTAGGATTTTTCAGTATGTGTTGTTATTTGACTAGTTTTAATAGAATTTAGATGCACTCATTTTTATCTAAGTCTTCATTATTAAGATTAATCTCACTCTCTTTACTTATCATTGAACAGGTTGACTCTGGCAGTAAAACTTTTGACTTGTATTTTGGAGATGCCAGGTTCGATTCTTGGCCTGGTCACTGACTGTTCTGATTGAGGTTGTTTGTTAGTTTCCTAAGTCCCTCTAGGAAAATGCTGGGATAGTACTTTGAAATAGAAAATGACCTCTTCCTCCCACATTCATTCTAGTTCACATTCATTAATCATCTGACTATTTGATGCTAAATAGCCTGAGCTATTTACAGTGTTATTATTTTTTGGAGGGGGTGGGTTTCCCCATGCACTGCGACTAGTTGTTAATCTATTGTGCGTCCCCCTTTAATTATTCTAGCAGTCACCATGCCCTTCCAGTACTGGTGCTTGCTATCAGCCCTGTTCTGGCAGCGAGGTCGGCCCTCTCTGGCAGTGGTCCCTGATACTTCCCCATCTACTGGAGTAATTGGAAACTAATTGTGGGGGGGGCAATGAGGATCTTTTACATGCCGTAAATCTATGACATGGGACGCACAGCTTAAAGCCCCTCCCGGAGGACTTGTTCCCTGAATTTTTCCACCCTTAAAAATTCCACGACCTCCACCGGGTTTGAACCCACGTACCTTGAGTCACGAGGTGGGAACGTTACCCCTAGACTATGGAGGCTGCTTTACAGTGTTATTAAATAAACCACAAGTAAAATAAAAAATGAAACTTTACTTACTGCCTTGAAAATAAGCAATATGTTGGATTAGTACAGTGTGTACTTCATTGTTGACATACAGGTTTGCTCACTATTTAGTGAGTACCGAGGTGAGGTGCTAGTTATGCAAGATCCACCTGCGGTTGATAGGGAATCATTTTTCAAGCCATTGTTCCTAGCTGAAGCCATTCGTCCACCAAAGAATCTTCGGAAAGTGTGTAAGTTCTCTCATGCTGCTTGAAGCTGTGCATTGGCTAAAGATGTTTAAATGATGTCAAAAAATAAAACGTAACAAATGAGCATAGAAGTGGCTTATGTCTTTGAAGGCACCCATACGAAGAAGAGGCCTCTATTATATTCTGTTCTGCTTATAAATGCTGAAATTAAATTTCTGTTATAGAAAATCATGACACTGCTAATGCTCAATTTCTTTGTTGCGTTTCATTTGCTTCCTTGTATCCTGCTATGTAAAGATACACTGGCATTGGTCTCATGTGTAACTTGAAATGGAATTTTTACACAGTATGTCGCAGAGAAAAAATATCTGATCAGTACAGATGTACAGCCAAGTAGTCATGTCTAGTGTGTAGTTGAAAGGGTGCTGTTATTGTAGAAACAGTGGCTATTAGCATTTTGAATTGTTTCATTCTGGTCCACTGCACTATTAAGTTAGAAAGTCAACTATATACTACCCGCAAAAGCCAGTTACAGAAGTGCTTTCATGTAATTATTGAACCGAAAGACCACTGCTCAAGTGCATATTTCAGCATCTATGAAGGGGGACCCAAAAGAAAAAATGGAATTTGTTTCTAGAAGGCGGGGTGCTTGTACAGGCTTCCGCCACTAGGTGATTGTTTTCAGCACGTTCCTGAATCAGTATGCCGGCTGGCGTCATCAGAGAAGTTTGCATTAATATTTGGCAAATTTTTTTCAAGTGACTTTTTTTATAATTTGTCTATTTTTAATGGCTGATTCACATAAACAATGTGCAGCTGTGAAGTTTTGTTTCCTTTTGGGGAAAACAGCATCAGAAACCGTTGTTATGCTAAAAAGAGCCTGCAAGGAAGCCACCATGACTAAAATACAAGTTTATGAATGGTTCACCCATTTCAAACATGGTGAAATGTCAACTGATGATCAACCTCGAAGTGGACGTCCTTCGTCTGCCTGAAATGATGAAAACGTGACAAAAATTCATCATATCATTCTGGAAGAACACCGGTGGGTGATTGACGAACTCGAGGAGCATACTGAGATCACATGCAGTTCCTGTCAGCGAATTTTAACCGAAAAATTGCACATGAATCGACTTGCAGCAAAGTTTATGCCTGCTCACCCATGATCAGAGAGACAATCACCTGGCTGCATGCCGTGCTTTGAAGGAGCGCATGACAACTGATCCTGATTTATTTTCCAAGGTCATAACTGGGGATGAATCTTGGTGCTATGGTTACGATCCTGAAACAATGCAGCAATCCAGCCAGTGGAAAGGTTCAAATTCTCCATGTCCCAAAAAAGCACAATAAGTGAAGTCGAACGTGAAAATGCTCATTTGCTTCTTCGATTTCAAGGACGTCTTATATTCAGAGTTTGTACCCCAGGGTCAAACAGTCAACCAGAATTATTATTTGGAAGTTTTGAAAAGTTTGCATAACAGTTTAAGTAGAAAATGTCCTGATTTGTGGCAAACAGGTGAATGGTTCTTTCATCATGACAACGCGCCTGCCCACACAAGACTGAGTGTGCAGCGATTTTTTGACCAAAACTGGCATGACACCCTTGCCTTACCCCTGTACTCACCTGATCTTGTCCTGTGCTACTTTTTTTTTATTTATAGATCGCAAGGGAAAACGTTTTGCTGGTGTTGAAGATGTAAAGAAAAAGCGACGGAAGCGCTAAAAGTGCAACGGAAAAAGCATTTGGACAGGTGCATTGAACCAAATGGAGAGTACTTTGAAGGGGTTTAAAGTTTTATGTAAAAATAAATACATATTTTTTTATAAGCATTCCAGGTTTTTTGTGTCCCTCTTCATATATTCAGTACTGTAAATGAGAACATGAAACATTTTTCAGAAAGTCATATGAGAACAGAAACATGAAGAAAACTGATGCATGTTACAGTGTAGCTCTGTCCATTTATCACTTGAGGCATGTTCATCTTCCACCAGCATGTTCCTGTCACAATTGGGAAAGTTGAATTCAGTCCATTGAGGAAGGCTGTATACCTGAAAGGCTTGTAACAATGATGGATTTTTTTTTTCCAGCTAAGCATCTTGAAGAACTTCCATTAGCTCCTCCACCTCAGCCTCTAAAACTGACCGAAGAAGAACTAAAAGCTTTGTATGAAAAGGAAGAAGGAACTCTCAGAGAATTGCGAATATTTTTACGTGAAATTTGTGCAAAGCTTGCGCGTAATCGCCAGTGAGTATCACTTACCGTCACTTTGGTGGTTATATTCTGTAAGGTAAACAGAACATGCTTGCATTCTTTGTTTTTCTGTAGTACTGATGCAGTTGGTACATACATTTTAAGCAGATTTTTGGAATGCAAAGTAGTGAAATTTTTCTGAGAAAGCCACTGCCCCAGAGACAGCTGCCTTTTTTTTTTTCTTTTCTCCCTAGTTAAGATATGGTCTAACTGGATACTGGCTATTAATTCCTAGGTGCCTTGATGCAAGTTTTGTCATTTTTAAACTTTCCTATCCTTCCTGTTTCTGTGACTCACTGAAATACGTTTTGGGTTCGCAGTGGTACCCGATGTACCATTTTTCTATAGATTCATAAGCTTAGATCTTAGAATCTGTAGATTCCAGTTTGTACATGTTGTGTCACCATGGTATGGACCATGTTGAAGACAGTGTTGGGCAAGTTCTCTATTGTATGTTTAATTGTTGCTGCAGACACGTTAACACACCTTGCCTAGCAATGGCTTAATAGGAAACCCTCTATCCTCTTTTTGCGTGTTTGGACATCTTTTTATCATGCTGTTGCATAGGAATGGCCGCATCTGTTTAACTATTCCGGCATTCAGCCTTCATGTCACATTGCTCTCTCCTGAGGGCTGCTTATCCCAGGTAGCCTACAGGCATATTGACATTTCTTCTCTGCTGGGATGTGCCTGTGGCATCTATGATGGCCCTCACAAATGGCACTGCAGTGTTATGCTGGCCCCAGCAATTTTCCATCTTATCTCAAGAGCATACAGTCTTCATTCCTCGTGGGTTTGGCCTCATGCTGCTGTTCTCAAACTGCTCCTTAGAGCTGCGCATCTTGAGTGGTTCCATGCTAAGGTACTGTCTTGTTTAAGTGTACTGCCATCATCTACATTTTAGGGTGTGTGGGATGTCGATGTTCACTGAGACAACCACTTGAATCTATAACAATAAGTGTTTGTTGCTCTTAGAACAGGTTTCACAGACGAGCTGGGAGCGTGCCTGAATGATGCCGGCGGAGACTCCTTTCGTAGCGGTTAACCTGGTCTAGTAATGATGGTTCTCAGTGGAGGCCCTGAGAAGGGCTGTTTGTTCAGCTGCGTCTTTGTAGCAGCTAGGCGTTCTTTGCGCGAGCGGCAGTGAGTCTGGCGGGCTGGCAGGGCTATGGTGCATGCACCAGAATAGTTGACTGTCTACTGGCGCCGTTACTGGAGAGTTACCGCAGCCGTGATTTCTTGGAGTCAGCATAGATATGACTGCTGTGACTGATGAAAGATTGATGGTAGCCAGTTGGAGGCCCGCATATTTATACCATTACTGCTGGGCGATGTGCAGACCAATTGACGCTGGAACTGTAATTGTGAGCGCTGATTGGATAGCGCTTGTGTTGGTGTCCACAGAGCCCGCCTGCAAGCTATGTATAAATATTGCCTTCTCATCTTACGTTGTGGGAATTGCCTGTTGTCTGTTAGAATGTGGGAGGTTCCCACAGGTGATACTGAATCCTATACACCACATTGTTGTTTCGGGTGTCTACCCTGTATGGGCCCTCTCATGAGGGCTGGAACTTGGGTAACTTCTATTTAGTGCCAGTTGGGCCATACAGCTACACTTGATCATCCTCTTTGTAGCTTGCAGAGTTGGCCAGATGGTAGCCTGTTCTTGTTTTGTCATTGGCCAGCTTGAGATGTTGGTGGGTGTAATTGGGGATGTCATGTAGCCCACCCACAAGGTCCGCAGTGTGGTTGATGGTCATTCCCATGTTGGGGGAGCACCAAATAGCAGGTCACAGGGAAGAATGAATGCTGGGTTCAACTCCATTGTGTCATGGGTTGATGCCCTGTAGAAGGGCAAAGATCAGTAGGCTCTCATCCCAGTCCCTCCATTGTGACATGATGACTTCTCACAGGTGCTTCTCAACCATTTTGACATACTGTTCCACCATGCAGCCCAACTGCAGGTGCAGGGGCGGGGGTGGGTCATGCATATCTTGCTGACATCTAGGCATTGTTGCACCTGCTGCATAAGGCAGGGCTCACATTTACTGCCCTGGTCACTGTGTAGCTCTCACAGAACTTTGAAGCAGCAGAAGTTCATCACCGTTGCTTCCACCATTGCTACCACCTCTTAGTTGGGGACAGTGTAGGCGTCCGGCCACTTATTGAAGTAGTCCATAGCGATTGTGACATATTGTGTCCCCTGTTCTTAGGTAAGGGTCCTCCTACATTGATGGCTATCTTCTCGAATGGTGCCCTGACATATTGATGCATGAGGCCTCTACCACTTGAGCTATGATGCAGCCTTGTTCCTTGTTCAGTGTCCTACTGTCGCAGGCTGTTATCCACTCCTGGCTGTCCTGTACTTATGACAGTACTCCCCCATTTCTGATGTTAATCATGTCTATGTTGACAATGTTCTGCTTTCCTGGTTTCTGGTACCCAAGGATGGGTGCAGTACAGAGGGCCTCCTTCAGTGACTGATAGTTGGCCTTTACTTCTGGGGACCACTGAAAGGCTTATTTCTTTTAGTAAGTCTGGCCAGCAGCCTCACAGTGTTGGAGAAACCAGAGGTAAACTGCCTGTAATATGTACATAGACCCAGGAAGTACCTTCCTCCATGCTTGTCCCTCAGTTTTGGCCCATCCTGCATGGCCACCATTTTCTTGAGGTCTGTGGTTATTCCCCCTGATAAAACAGTATGGCCCAGGTATTGTACTTCCAAAAGAATTGGCACATTGCTGGGTTGAGCTTTAGGTGGGCCTTTTGGAATCATTGGAGTACTCTTTGTATGTAGCCTAGGTGTTCCCGGAACGTGCAGCTAGTCATGATTATGTCATCCAGATACTAGGCACAACTCATGCGAGTTCCCTTAAGATGGTTTCCGTTAGCCGCTCAGACATCGCTGGAGCGTTGTAGTGGCCAAAGGGCATGACCCTGAATTGCCTCAACCCTTCCCCGTTTTTTTTCTTGTCGTCAATCTGTAGTACCTCCTGCTTTTATGGTCCATGGTTGCTAACCATTTGGCTCTGGCAATCATGTCCAATATGTAGTCACTAATAGGTAATGGGAAACAGGCTTTCTTTGTAATTATCTTTATTGTTTACATCCTGTTGTGTGTTACCATATAGTATTATACAACCATCAACACTGCATTAAGATTTTTATGTTATGTATTTTTCTGAGTTTTGTGTTTATGAATTTTGTTTATGCCATGTGCATGACTAGCATTAACTATCTTTATTACAGTGGAACCTCACTTAATGAGCACCTCTCATACCGAGTAATTTGCACAACGAGCAAAACAAATTGTAAAAAAATGACTCGCTTAATGAGTGATGAGAGGGGAAGTCCCGGATTGTGCACTTGCTACATCAGTCTGTGTTTAGCACTCGTTCTGCTAGCATCTTAGTGTCACTTGTGATCACACATTTTTCCAAAACTTGTATTCAGACATATTATTTGTGATTTTTTGTGCAAAGTTTAATAACCCTTGCAAAAATATCTCCAAAGAAAAAGCCGCAAAACACAGCCATAAGAGAATAAAAATAACCGTAGAAATGAAACGTAAAATCATTGAAAAGTGCTACAAATTTATTTAACGATAATGCTGTGTTGCATTTTCACCAAATTTTGAAGCATCGGCAAAAACAAATGTCTCTAGACAGCTTTCTAGTAAAAAAAAGAATTATATATGTATCATAAATAATAAACTAATTATTTCGATTTTTTTATGTTTTCTGCAAATGGAATTCGCATTCCAGGTTGGTTCATTCCACATAGAAGAAAAGATGAAGATGATTCATGCACCTTAACAATGTATATATAATTTTCTTTGAATAAACGTTATACATAAAATTTTTTGAGTATTTTTTTCGGCATGGAATGCATTATCATATTTTACATTAATTTATATGGGAAAAATTGTTTCGCATTACAAGTAAGAGTCTGGTACGAATTATGCTCGTTAAGCGAGGTTCCACTGTATTTGCATTCTTTTATATATTACTATGTAGTATTATTATGCAACAATTAACACAGCAAATTTGTAATAAATAAACCGATATTACTGTGTTAACATTAGTGTATTATATATATATATTTGCCAGTATGCTGTTATGTGTAGGGGTGATTATAGATGGGGTTTGGATTAGTGAATAGGTTTATCGACCACTTACAGGTTGTAACTACAAATAACTATAACACTGTTGCTATTTCCACACTTTACAGTTCACTACAACCCACAGTCTAGTGTTCTCAGTCTGTTACTAGATGTTTCCCATTAGCAGCTTCAACAGTGGCTATTCCTCTGCCTCTGGGTGAAGTCCTCTAGACTCCCATACAGAACTGAATTGAACTGAACTGACCTTGTCCCATGCTCATAACATCCTGGCTTTTTCCGCATAGGAAACACAGCTCTTCCAGTGATGTAGTTCAGTTGTCGCATTATTAAAAATCTGCTACAAATATAAATCACTCCGTCCAATGTGACCTGTAAGTTTATTACTACATGAAAAACTCGACACCCTTACATGTTTCGGTCTCTGCGGACCATCTTCAGAGGGCAAACATCACTACAAATAGGAAACCACCTTCACATAAGTTGTTTAGACGTAAAGTACGTACACTTATATGTTACAATGCATAGTACACAAAGAGAACATTTCACAAACACAGCAGTTTCCTGGAAATGTAAAGTTTTTTAAAAATTATATAACATTTCTTGATGCCAATTAAAAATTTGCATTGTCAATAATTAAAATTCATAAACCATGCAGGCTCATGTTCGTCCTGCATGGTTTATGAATTTTAATTATTGACAATGCAAATTTTTAATTGGCATCAAGAAATGTTATATAATTTTTAAAAAACTTTACATTTCCAGGAAACTGCTGTGTTTGTGAAATGTTCTCTTTGTGTACTATGCATTGTAACATATAAGTGTACGTACTTTACGTCTAAACAACTTATGTGAAGGTGGTTTCCTATTTGTA